CCTGCCTCAGCCTCCTGAGTAGCTGGGATTACAGGCACGCACCACCATGCCCAGCTAATGTTTTTGTATTTTTAGTAGAGACGGAGTTTCACCATGTTGACCAGGATGGTCTCGATCTCTTGACCTCGTGATCCACCCGCCTCGGCCTCCCAAAGTGCTGGGATTACAGGCTTGAGCCACCGCGCCCGGCCTCTATGTGTTTTATTTTCTTGTGTTTATCCTGACTGGGTTTGTTGTTTCTTAAATCTGTGGGTTGATATTTTTCATCAAATCTGGAGCATTATTGAGCAATATTTCTTTGGGTTATGAGTTATATTTTGCTGCTTCACGTCTACTAATGTTATATTAAGCGCTAGTAATTTTTAATTGAATGCTAGATATATACAGTAGTGTTAAATTGTTGGTTGTATGGATTTTGTTGTCTTCCTCTATAGAACTTGGGGGGGGCAATTAAGTTACATATGGATCAGCTTGATCTTTTTTTTTTTTTTTTTAATTCTCCTGGGTGCAGGCAGGCTGAGGCTGAAAAGGGCATCAGCCTCAGCTTGATCTTTGGTTTTGGTTTTTGTTTTGGTTTTTGAGACAAAGTCTCACTCTGTTGTCAGGCACCAAGCTGGAGTGCAGTGGTGCATTCTTGGCTCACTGCAACCTCCACCTCTCGGGTTTCAAGCAATTCTCCTGTCTCAGCCTCCCAAGTAGCTGGGACTGCAGTCGTGTGTCACCACGCCCAGCTAATTTTTTGTATTTTTAGTAGAGGTGGTGTTTCACCATGTTAGCCAGAATGGTCTCGATCTCTTGACCTCGTGATCCACCCGCCTCGGACTCCCAAAGTACTGGGATTACAGGCGTGAGCCACTGCACCCGGCCCTCAGCTTGATCTTTTTTTTAAGTCTTGTTATAAACCCTGTTAGGGTCAGACTAGAGTAGCTTTCACTCTAGGACCAGAAGGAAAGTTCTTACCTACGAAGGCATGACCTTTCTGGGTTGAATGCTGAGTCTCTCTACTCTAGCTGGTTGATCACAAATGTTTCCCAGGCCTGTGTGAACTCTGGGAATTGGTCAGTTTACAAATCCCCAGTAATTATTATTTTCCCAGTAGTTCTTTGCCTGGACTTGTGGTCTCACCTTAACATGCAATGCAGTTTTGTGTGCCATAATCTGTAGAAGACCCCTGTTCAGATTTCTAGAGTTCTTTCTCTCTGTGTAGCTTTCTCTTTTCTGGTATACTGACTCATAAATTCTGACTGCCTCGGCCTTCCTGAATCCTGAACTCCTGAACCCCAGTCTCATTCTCAACTCAGCAGGAACATCATGCTTTGTTTGGGCTCTTCCTCTTTTGACCATGGAATTTTTGGCAGACGTGGAATGTGTCTACAGACAAGAAGCCAGAGTCAAAGTATGGTTTCTTCATTTTTATCCCTTCTCTCAGTAATCAAAGCCCTGTACTACCTGTAGTACAGTGTCTAAAAATAATTGTTCCACATATTTTGTCCAGTTTTCTAATTGTTTGCTATAGAAATGAAAGTCTAGGCCGGGCACGGTGGCTCACGCCTGTAATCCCAGCACTTTGGGAGGCCAGGTGGGTGGATCACGAGGCCAGGAGTTAGAGACCAGCTTGGCCAACATGGTGAAACCCCAACTCTATTTTTAAATTTAAAAAATAAATAAAATAAAAAAAGAAATGAAAGTCTAGTATCCATTACTTTATCCGGCCATGAGGCAGAAAACCTTCACCCATACACCAGGATCCCTAACCCATGCTCCCACGAGAGCTGGAACCTGCTGCTCAGTAAATGTATAGATTTTATACCCTGTGGTGGGTTTGATCCAGTTAGGCATTTCAAATAATACCGTTTGAGTCTTTACCCTTTTGTTTCTTTGCTTAGTATGGTTAAAAATGTGATTCATATTTGCTACATTGTAGTGTGACTTGTACTTTTTAGAAAATAACTTTAAAAGTAGTTTGAATTATGTGTAACTATTAAGCTTTAAGGCTGAATAGAACTTGTGAGGTTTCCTATCACTTAGTATAGTTTAAACTAAAATGTCAAGGTATATGCTGAGATAGGCTCTTGAGAATGAACAAAGGACAAGAAACTGAGTTGTTAATGTTCATTTTGTCTGGGAACCACCACATCTGCCTCAAAAGCTAAGTAATCATGACTTATAGTGTGGTTATGGAAAATATATGTCAGTTCAATTGAGTGAATGAACAGACTTCTTTAGAAAAAAGAATTCTCAAATCAGAGACTTGAGAAAACATTCTCAAATCAGATTGTTGAAAATTTCCCTTTTCAGAATCACTAAAAACTATGAAGAACTTTTATTTTATTAGATAATGTATTTAATCTGTTAGGATATATTTTTTACATTTCTGGAATGCAAATACAGCTTTTTCTTTCCTTTGTATCCCAGAAATCTCATTATTTTAGCACCCAGGGAAGTTTTATTTTTGTTCACTTGAAATTCATTTCTAAGTTTACCTGTAGACTGTACCTATAGCCAAAGAGGACACTTACATGGGGACAGCATGGACAAATTCTTAAATTTTCTTCTTTTTCACTTACTGGCATTCATAAGTCTCTTTTGTATTTTCTAACAGTAAAGGTAAAAGTTAAAGGTGGTTTCTTTTTTTTTTTTTTTTTTTTTAATTGCATCTGATAGCTGTAATTGTATGGGGAGAAATGTTTCATGAATTATGCAGTCATTCTGAATATCCCACACTTTGGGTCTTTTTTGTAGTATCACAAAATAATTCTTTTTCCCCCCAACGGTGAAATCTCTTGTGTTCACATAGTGTTTAAA